GATTTTGGATCATCTTTACTATCATTACTCTGAATTCTTTTTCAGGTAGACTGCCTATTTCCTCTTCATTTGTTTGGTTTGGTGGGTTTTCACCTTGCTCCTTCATCTGCTGTGTGTTTCTCTGTCTTCTCATTTTGCTTCTCTTACTGTGTTGGGGTCTCCTTTGTGCAGTGTGCAGGTTTGTAGTTCCCGTTGTTTTTGGTGTCTGCCCCCAGTGCCTAAGGTTGGTTCAGTGCATTGTGTGGGCCTCCTGGTGGAGCGGACGGGCGCCTGTGTTCTGGTGGATGAGGTTGAATCTTGTCTTCCTGGTGGGCAGGACCATGTCTGGTGGTGTGTTTTGGGGTGTCTGTGGACTTATTATGATTTTAGGCAGCCTCTCTGCTAATGGGTGGGGTTGTGTTCCTGTCTTGCTAGCTGTTTGGCATAGGGTTTCCAGCACTGGAGCTTGCTGGTTGTTCAGTGGATCTGGGTCTTAGCATTGAGTTGGAGATCTCTGGGAGAGCTTTCACCGTTTGATATTACGTGGAGCCGAGAGGTCTCTGGTGGACCAATGTCCTGAACTCGGCTCTCCCACCTCAGAGACACAGGCCTGACACCCAGGCAGGGCACCAAGATCCTGTCAGCCACATGGCTCAGAAGAAAAGGGAGAAAGAAAGAAGGAAAAAAATAAAGTTAATAAAATAAAAAATTTAAAAACAATTATTAAAAATAAAAGAAAATTAAAAAGTAATACAAAGAAGAAAAAAAGAAAGAAGAGAGCAACGAAACCAAAAAACAAGTCCACCAGTGATAACAAGCGCTAAAAAACTATACTGGAAAAAAAAAAAAAAAAAAACCAGACAGAACCCTAGGACAAATGGTAAAAGCAAAGCTATACAGACAAAATCACACAAAGTTCACCACCTCAATTTTGGGATGATTCGTTGTCTATTCAGGTGTTCCACAGATGCAGGGTCCATCAAGTTGATTGTGGAGATTTAATCTGCTGCTCCTGAGGCTGCTGGGAGAGATTTCCCTTTCTCTTCTGTGTTCGCACAGCTCCCAGGGCCTCAGCTTTGGATTTGGCCCCGCCTCTGCGTGTAGGTCGCCTGAGGGCGTCTGTTCTTCGCTCAGACAGGACGGGGTTAAAGGAGCCGGACGGGGTTAAAGGAGCCGCTGATTCGGGGGCTCTGGCGCACTCAGGCCGGGGGAAGGGAGGGGCAGGAAGTGCGGGGCGGGCCTGCGGCGGCAGAGGCCAGTGTGACGTTGCACCAGCTTGAGGCCCGGCGTGCGATCTCCCGGGGAAGTTGTCCCTGGGTCACGGGACCCTGGCAGTGGCGGGCTGCACAGGCTCCCGGGAGGGGAGGTGTGGATAGTGACCTGCGCTCGCACACAGGCCCCTTGGTGGCGGCAGCAGCAGCCTTAGCGTTTCATGCCCGTCTCTGGTGTCCACGCTGATAGCCGCGGCTCATGCTCGTCTCTGGAGCTCGTTTAGGCGGTGCTCTGGATCCCCTCTCCTCACACACCCCGAAGCAATGGTCCCTTACCTCTTTGGCAGCTCCAGACCTTTCCCCGGACTCCCTCCCGCCTGGCTGTGGCGCACTAACCTCTTCAGGCTGTGTTCACGCCGCCAACCCCAGTCCTCTCCCTGCGCTCCGACCGAAGCCCTCAGCTCCCAGCCCCGCCCGCCCCGGCGGGGGAGCAGACGAGCCTCTGAGGCTGGTGAGCGCCGGTCGGCCCCGATCCTCTGTGCGGGAATCTCCCCGCTCTGCCCTCCGCACCCCTGTTGCTGCGCTGTCCTCCGCGGCTCCGAAGCTCCCCCCGCTCCGCCACCCGTAGTCTCCGCCCGTGAAGGGGCTCCTAGTGTGTGGAAACCTTTCGTCCTTCACAGCTCCTTCCCCTGGTGCAGGTCCCGTCCCTATCCTTTTGTCTCTGTTTACTCTTTTTTCTTTTGCCCTACCCAGGTACGTGGGGAGTTTCTTGCCTTTTGGGAGGTCTGAGGTCTTCTGCCAGCGTTCACTAGGTGTTCTGTAGGAGCTGTTCCACATGTAAATGTATTTCTGATGTATTTGTGGGGAGGAAGGTGATCTCCACGTCTTACTCCTCCGCCATCTTGAAGGTCTTCAAAGGGTGCGTTCTGCTGATCTTGGAGAGTCTCCTAGAGAGGCTGGGGGTGGCTGTGTCTCCTGCTGGGGACACAGACAGTAGCCCAGCGGCAGCCACACTCAAAAACTCCTACCCTGTGGAAGCCGGAAGACACTGCTGACAGGTGCCTGGTGAGATCCTCCTGTGCTCTTGGAGAAAACAATTTTCATCTGTTCATATATTGTTAAAAAGTAATGGGTTCATACTTCTTTTTTTTAAGTCTAATCCTTCCCACTTCTTCCTCTCAAATACTGAATCTCAGATCCTTTGATGTTCAGCATAATTTAAGTGTTAATTCCTTGCTAAGCTCTTTTCAAGCTACTACACTCACCATGCAGATTTCATTCAACCCCACAGTCTCTTTGTATTAATGTCTCAGAAAAAGCAAAGTAACTCTTGCTCTGTATTCAAATATTTTGCTCAAGAGTAGTATCTTTTGTCCCCATTCCTGAAGATGTATTTGTTTATTTGGCCTTCAGAAAGAAAACAAAAGTCTGCTACAACTCAAAGAGAACACAAGAACCGGGCTTCTCGTCTCAATTTGGGAAACATCTGGTTATTGTAATTCACGGAGCTCTCATGCGGTCCTGAGTGGTTTCAGCCTTAAATCACCCTGTGTTGGCAAACAATAGTAAGGGCCAGGCCAGGAAAGGAACAGACCAATCTCCTGTACGGAATGAGATTAAATAAAGGCATCAGCATGCCAGTATTCCCATTACCAATATTTCTGTTTCTAATATATCCTCCTGAGAAGCCAATGTGTTATTTCAGTGATGATGACATTGGAAGCCATTCTGCTGTTCTGGAGCTCCCCTTTAGAATTGGCATCCGGATCAGAAGGCTACATCTTGGTTTGTTTTAAAGAGTAGAGTACATTTGTGGTAATGGCATGTTATTAGGTAAATGATCTAGTTGGGTCATTCTAGGTGGAAACTTCGAAGTGGTTAAAAGAGATGTTTTTATATCCGGAGCAGAGACCTGGACCCTAGTTCTGACTCTGCCATTTGTTTGCTTTGTGATGACGGAAATTTTACTTTACTGCTTTAAGCCTCGATTACTTTAGCTGTGAAATGGGAATAACACCTGTGAAACTTGATGAAGATTTCAAACGAATAACCAAAGTGTGAGTCCTGCCTCTGTCACTTCCAAACTTTTATGTCATTTGTACTTCACTTTGTTTTGAACAATTATCATTGAAGAATCCTGGAGTCCTAGGAGGCTAGTGCTCCAAGAGATTATCCACTCAAAAGCCCCGTGTGAGAGACAAAGAACCTGAGAACCCTAATTATAGAAGTACCTCGAATGTCAGGGTGACTGCTTTGAAAGAGAATGTTTATTTGACATTTACACTGAGGGTTTCTTAAAAAAGGCCAAAACCAAGAAACAAACCCAAAACCCCACCTCATTTTACTGAAGTAAGGCTGGTATGCAGTCAAATTAAATGGAGTTCCTCATAAATGGGACAGCAGTCCTCTTGAGCTTATAAATCAGGATCACCCTGCTTATTCTGTTCAATCCAGAAGAGGAATGGAAATACCCAAAGCAGCTGGGGGAAAGCTATAATAAACTTCTTCCTAGAAAGGAAAAGTCCATGCTGGTCCTCTGTATCCCCTGGAGAGTCTTGGTAAACAAAGTCTATAGTTGTCACTTCACCTGCCTCTGGGCTTATCTGACCTTTCAGCACAGGTAAGCAAAGGGTGAGGCCATGCAGGGGCCTAAGGCATGGGCTGGCTGGACTTGAGAACCACAAAGGAGAGGGGGTGGGAGGGAAGAATGGGAATGATCTAGAATAATGGGGAGAAAAGGAGAACAAGAGAAAGAAATTTCATCCCTGAGAACTATAGTGGAGGGTCACCACGGCTACTGCTGGGGGGCATCTGTGCTTCTGTTTGTCTACCTCCCAACAGTATCACACCACCGATGAGAGTATGTTATCTGAAAACAGAACAATTCTCAGGAGAGGGATCCCCTTGCAGCTACTCTAGAAACTCAATACATCTTAACAGTCCCTACTCTTAGAAAGGTCTTACTAATTAAAAAAAAAAAATCCAAAAAAATCCCTGTATATCACTTTGAAATGACTTTCTTTATTATCCCACTAAAAAAACAAACAAACAGTGTTTATATTAGAAAACCCACCCTTTTTGTGCCCTTCCATTTTTTATGCAGGGCGTAAATTTGTATTTTTTATACAACAAATAAAGATTTCAGAAGGGTGGTCAATTATTTGCTGATTGAATTATAGGAAGAACGTGTGATTATCCATTAGAACTCAGAAATGTATATAGCTAACATTATGCCCGCATGTATCTAACCCAGCCTTAGTAATTATAATCACTCTTTGTTTTTTGTTTCCTGAGGGGAATAGGTTAGGTTGGAACTGAATGCATCATTATAAAGTATGCACACATAAACTGAACTTTCTTAAATCGAGGTCACTTGGGTAAGAAGGCTCTTTTGATAAAACTGGGTTGACAGTTGTATTCACTGGGCACTTCAGCGTTAAATGATATTCTTCCCACATCCTGGGTCATAAGGCAGTCGCATGTACATCAAAGTTAAGAAACAGAAAATCACGTTCACAGTAACAGCAAAGCTTCATGATGTGTGGTTTTACACTTGAATATGCTGTGTTCTGTTCTGCCATGTTAATATTTTAAATAATATAACTTCCTTTCCATGTAGCATTAAGTTCATCTTTTATTTTCTCTTTACCTTTCTGAAATAGCTTTCTATATTGCTATATTTACGCCAGGAGAAATTCCTAAAACATAGGAAGCATAAAGTCCAATCATCTTTGCAGGAAAACAGCAAAAGTAACAACAAAAACCAGTTTAAGGTCCTCCAGCCAAAATGATATCTTGTGTACTTTACAGACTCAATCTGTGTACCAGGCTTTGACCCAGGCCTCAACATGATGACTGGGATCACCCCTATTAACCCAATGATACCAGGCCTGGGGCTGGTACCACCCCCGCCAACAGAAGTGGCTGTCGTCAAAGAAATAATCCACTGCAAAAGCTGTACTCTTTTTCCCCAAAACCCAAGTAAGTGATATCTGTGAGAAGTATTTGATCATCAATTTAAGTTTCTTTCTTTTTTAATATAGTACTGCATTCATTTTCAGATGTGACTCAAAGTTCTCCCACCTAGGTACACAGAGTGGGGATCATTCTACAGAAGTCCTTCGTCTCTAGATTAAAACAAATATGTGGGTCCCTGTGTCTATCTAGGAGCTGAATTGACACCACGAAGGGAGCATGAGTGATTGGGGTGAATAGCCAGCATTAAGGACCTTTTTGCACGCAACAGAGGCTAGCATTTGCTGCAGATCGGAGTGTGAAATATGTGAACACTTACATCCATCTTCACAAATGTGGGAGAGAAACTCTGAAATGCGTTTTGCTAGATGGAAAACGGAATTAATTTGGCAAGTAGCAATTTGGTGGTGGAGGGGAGCGGGGAGCCTGCATCTCAGAGTTCCTGGACCAGATTGCATTCGCTTGAAGGAAACATACATTTGATGAAATAAATAGGCCAGTTTTGTTTTTTTTTTTAACTTAGTCTCTGATACTAAATTCATGGGCTTAAATAGCTGGGATTTGTTTTTATTCATATGAATCAGTGTTGCCTTTTTAAAGTGGACTTTTCAGAAGATTGCTTTTTATCTTTTTATGCAGGCTCCCTCAGATTTAGTAGTTTGCTCATTTAAATGTGAATAATAAAAAAAAACGAGAAAAAAAGGAGGGGGTGGTTTCAGGCCTTGTGTTTCGCAGCCAAGTAAGTACTGCGCCTGCTTTCAGGCTCTGCTCCCTGTTCTGCCTTACTGCTCCATTATCCTGCAACCAGACAAAGCAGACAACAACCATCGGTTTGTTTTTTTTTTTGCTGTACGCGGGCCTCTCACTGTTGTGGCCTCTCCCGTTGTGGAGCACAGGCTCCGGACGCGCAGGCTCAGCGGCCACGGCTCACGGGCCCAGC